TGCGGTAACGAGGCCGAGGATTTGCAGCCCAGTCTGTGAGTATCGAGGGAGTTCTGGATCCTCGGGATAAGCTGCTTCGTCTCCCGTTTCTGGGTCGGGCATGAAATTTGGCCCTACCCTTTCTGCTTCGTTGGTGTTGACTGTCACAGGTGTTACGTAACCATCGTCGGCGAAACGGTAGAAGATTTCGGCGTTGTTACTGTCGCGAGGATTATCCTCATCCATGGGCACGTCGACGGAGCAGTATGGGAGAGGTCCGGCTTCTTCTGAGGCGTTGTCGACGTTCTGTTCATCCCAGTCTGCTTCGTCCGCTGCTGACGCGAAGGCTCGGTCACCACGAAAACCACTGGTGAGGTCCCGATTCTCGTGCAAGTTGGCGAGGTACGTCTGAAGGGTGAGTCTTTCGTAGAAGATCACGTCACGTGCTGCTACTGTTTCCTTTGTGTGGACGTCGAAGATTTTCCATGCGTTGTAATTTTTCTCGATGCCGAGGTGTAGTCCCCACTGTGCCCGTTGCGAAAATCTTCCCGCTCGTGCTTCTGGGGGTCTGTACTGTACCATGCACCCGAAAACTCGTAACATTTTCGTGCTGCCCTGCTTCCCTGTCCACAGCAGATGCGGTGATGCGTTGTTCGGGAGTGACGACGACGACAACAAGTTGTGTAGCATGACAGCGTGGTCCATTGCTGCTGGCCACTGGTGGTTGGGTAGCCGCATGCCACGTAATAGTTTGCGCATGCTGTTCTGCAGGGTCCTGTTCAGTCGTTCTGCAACACCTTGCTGCTGATGTGCGTAAGGAAGGGAGAGGAGTTGCTTGATCCCCCTTTCCGCCAAGAACTGCTTGAAGCGGTGAGAGGTGTACTCGCCACCTCCGTCTGACTGGAATTTTTTCAGTTGTGTTCCAGACTCTCTCTCTGCTATCGGTAGCCAGGCGGCGAATGCTGCGAGCGCCATGTCGCGGCTGGGTAGGTTGCGATGCCAGACGTATCGAGTGGCGGCGTCGATGAAGGTGATGGTGTAGTTGTAGTTGACTTGTCCTGGCTCGCGATTGTAGAGGATGTCGCTGTAGACTTTTTCGAGTGGTGCGTACGCTGGAGCGCTCGGGTTGTGATGTGAAGCAAACGGTCGATGAGGTAAGTCAGCTTCGGGACATATAAGGCAAGTCCCTCGTGCCTTCTGGAGTTCTCTGCCATCGGGTAGAAGTAGAGAATCTTTGTCAAGGACTCCTGCTCTTATCGTGTTATTCAAAACCGTGTTGCTTGGATGTCCTGTTCGTGCGTGCCAGATCTCTTCAGAGGCACGGTGTCCAGGTGAACGCTGATATGCGTCGGAGTTGGAGTAAAAGCTGGCGACGAGGTTGGCGCTTCGGTGGACTTCACGTTGAGTCGGATTCAGCTGTTTCGCGGGTGTTGGTGGTGCTTCGTTGACTGTGACTGGTGTCGTTGTTCCTGCTGCTGCTGATGTTGTTGCTGCTGCCGATGTTGTTACTGCTGCTGATGTTGTTGCTGCTGCCGATGTTGTTACTGCTGCTGATGTTGTTGCTGCTGCCGATGTTGTTACTGCTGCTGATGTTGTTGCTGCTGCCGATGTTGTTACTGCTGCCGATTGTCGAATTGTTGCTAATGCTCGTGTTCGTTCTGCTTCAGGAATGGTGTGCGAGTACCAGAAGCCTCCTGGGCTGAAGTCGGGGTCGAGATCCGGAGGGTTTGTCCAGTCAGTGAAATTCACGATGGCGTCGCTGTCTGCAGTGCCCAGGTCAGGAACGAAGTCGAGGACGAAGACGTTGTTCTTCAGCACTGCTTTCCCGATGTAGAGACCGCCTCTCCCGTGGTAAAGTTTGAACTCCTGGGTCGTGCTGTCGGCTTCCAGATGAATTCCTTTCGCCATCAACTGGCTAACGCTCAGTAAGTTGTAGCCGAGTCCTTCAGCGATGAGTACCTTAGACATGTGCAGTATGACATTTGTTTCTCTTGACTGAAGCTGTACCACTCCTTGTCTTCGTGTGCGCAGGTTTTGGTTGTTGGCAACCATGATGATCACTTCCCGTTGGAGTCGATGTTCGCGTTGTACGAAACGCCCGGACGAGCACATGTGTTGCCCGCAGCAACTGTCCAAGAACCAGGTGTCTTGGCCGGACGGTTCACTTTGAGCGATGGCGGCGTACGTTGGATTCGGCTGGAGTAGCTCACGGCGAGGCGTTCTGTTGTCAAGCTCTTCTTCCGGTGAGTAGTGTGGTGGTGATTCGGTCGTACATGAATCGGTTATCTTCGTCATGCAGTTGATTATATTTCTTGCTCCTTGTGCAGGTTGTCCGGGTGAAGTCGTTGAAGCTTGAATAGTGGTCGTCGCACTTGCTTGTGTTGAAGCCATTTGGGAGCTTGAAGGTCGAAGTTGTCGCTGTGGTGCCGTTGATTGCTGACGATTCGGGCAGTGTGTGCGCGGGTGCCCTGAAGTCTTGCAGATGTGGCAGAAGGGAGGTACTATCTTCGGTTGCTGCTGTCGGTTGTTATAATTGCTGTGTCGTCGTTGAGTGTGGAATGCGAACTCTGATACTGTCGTTTTCTTCCTGTGTCGTTCTTCCTGCAGGTCCATATCTTGCTGCTCGGCATGTATTTCGGCGCAGAGTGCAGCTTCAGAGATTCTTCCGTGGGCTCGAAGAATGGCTTTGGTGGCGCGCCACTGAGGACCAAGCCCACCAATGATGACTGTCACGAAGGCGTCTTCAGAGATTGACCCTCCGCATCGAAGCAGCTTGTCGCGCAGTTCGCGACATCGGCTGATATACGCCAGTCCTTTTTCTCCTGGTTTCATTTCGACTGTCGTCAACTGCGCCATTAACCTGCTCTGGTTTACACTGTCTGTTGCTTGATACAGGTTCTTCAGATGGCTGTACGCGAGCTCCGCCGAGTTGCCGAAGGTCCGGTAAGAGCGAATGTTCTGCTGCTGAGTTGGTGTCACATTCCTCAATAGGATTGTATACGCCATCATTGATTGATACGTATACTGCTGCTTTTCATATTGTGTCCCGTTGGCTGGATACTGCAGGGACCCGTCGAAGAAGCCGAGTATCTGCGCGCCCTCCATCATCAGCTCGAATTCAAAGGACCAGGTAAAGAAGTCTTTGCCGTCGAAGGGTCTTGACGTTTGCAGTTTTAAGACGTGTGCAAACTGCGACTGAACTTGAAGTGCGTCCAGTGGTCTTTCTTGTCCAGGTGAAGGTTGCAGGTGGGGCACGAAGCTGATTGACCCGCGCTCGTACGGAGCAAAGGTAGGTTGCTGCTGCTGGTTTCCTCGCGCATATGACGACCCATCAAGACTCATGGGTGTCGCTCCGTTGTTGCTGTTGTGTGTTTGTGCAGGTCCCGACTGCTGGTGTTGTTCGTAGAAGGACATGAAGGAGAAAAATTTCTCCATCATGTTCTGGTCAAAGTCCGAAGGGTGGTTCATGGGGGTCTCGGTTGACGTTCCTCTTGGTCTTGTTGCCGTGCCTTCTTCTGTCTGCAGGCCAGAGGCTGACGGTGGAGTAGGAGTAGTGCCCGAGGAGCCATTAGGGGAGCTCCTTTCCTTGTTTGTTGCCATGTCTTGTAATGATATTGAAAAAGAGTAGAATTTCCCTTGTCTGCTCTCATACCATGTTGGGCTGAGATAGCCCCTTAGGATCTTTGCAAGGGATAACTCTAGGTGAAGTAGTTGTAATAGCGGAAGCGTTTAGTGAAGAATTTGAACCGACCTTGCACTGGTGTGTGAGAGCAAAGTTGATTGAATTAAACAAGCAAATACAAGGATTTATATAAGAGTACAGGGAATAGATAGATAACTGTATTGCTGTTGCGGTTCGATATAGCGCGACTCGGGCAACTGCTCTGTAACGAGTCAGTTGTGTGTCCTTAACTGTCGCGCTGTAATTGTCGAGTCAAAGGTCAGCGACCTTTGACTTTCTCGTAACCTCCAGGCGGTTACCCTAACCTCCGAGGTTGACTCGATGCTTCGATTGGGACTGCTTCGCTTGGTACCTTGGATTTTGATACGACAGAAGCGCACTTAGGACTTATTGTTTCCAACACGAGCTAGCTAGTGCTATGCTGGCAGCGAGGCTCGGGCTAGTCCCGAAGCGTAGGCCGACACGGCCGGGCCAGCAGTGCGAGGTTTGACAAAACAGTGTGCGCGAAGTTGGAGAAGTCCCGTTAGTAGTAACGGGCGAACAACGGCTGTTGCTGTACGCGATGTGGTCGGGCTCCGTAAGGAATGCCGAGAAAATTCCTTACATTATGTGAAACAACAGATCATGCAATAGTCGGATATACTGTACAGGTCGTTCTCAAAACCGATTGGCTTGCCTGCTCGCTTGTGAGCCGTACACGATGTGATTGGTCCATACATCTCGTCCTGAAACTTTGCGACCAATCCAAAATCCGCACCGCATGCAGTCTCGAATCAAGAATGCCCTGCCACGCCCCTCCCCACCCTTCACGCTTTCTCAACAAATTCCGAAGTCAGTCGAACCTCACCAAAACGCACAACAGAGCGAGATTTTGCAATTGACCGCTCTGAACCGATCGATCTAAAGCTGTCAGCTCAAAACGCAAGTGACATGCTCATCACAGCCTACTTGCTTACCTTACCTCGAGCTGCTCTCATTGCTCATCACGGAACAGGCTGCGCTGACTGCGTGAACGACAAGGGATGCCCATTCAGTTTCCCGCTAGATCGTGTTTCTTCTTGCCATCTCCCATGAATCTTTAACTCGGCCAATCTCTCGTGACGGACGGTCGTGCACTGCATTGATACTCTTGTCACTCTGCAACTAGTAGTCAAAATAAATACTCATCCGGTGGCGGTTGGTTTCGATTCTAAGGGTCATCATTTAAAGTCAACAATAATCTTTCAGGTTGATTTTATTAACCAGCGTATCGTCTCTCTACTCCGTCTGGAACCAAAGAATCTATCTGCGCGGGAATGACGCTCGGCTGCTAGTGAGAGCGGATCGCGAAGGGGGAAGCATGGCGGACGACAAGGGGGGTGAGGATAAGGGAGAGAGCAAAGGGGAGGGTAAGGGGGAGGGCAAGGGGGAGGATAAGGGGGAGAGCAAAGGGGAGGATAAGGGGGAGGGCAAGGGGGAGGATAAGGGGGAGAGCAAAGGGGAGGATAAGGGGGAGGGCAAGGGGGAGGATAAGGGGGAGGGCAAGGGGGAGAGAAAGGGGGAGGATAAGGGGGAGAGCAAGGGGGAGATTAAGGGAAAGGATAAGGGGGGGAACAAGGGGAATTTTAGGAGGCCTATTAGAGATGAAGGTGGGAGCCATGGTGGGAGCGGACGTGGGAGCGGAGTGGAGAGAGGTTTTGAATGCAGAAAGAGCAGCAGCAGCAGCAGCAGCAGCAGCTGCAGCGGCGGCGGCGGCGGCGGCGGCGGGAGCAGCACGATGGGGCAGGCACTTTGGGAACCGATCTGGGAGGAGGAGGGGAACCATGCTCAAAGATTTGAAGGGGGCGCGCAAGGGGGAGGGCACGGGGGAGCGCAAGGGGAAGTTCAACGGGGAGGACAAGGGGGAAGCCAAAGGGCAGAGCGCGGTGGGGGGCAAGCTGTGCACAGGGAAAGCGGGGGTTTGGGGGGAATCGGCGGAGATGAGAGGGGGGAGACAGTCCACAGGGCGGGGGGAGCGGAGAGAGCTGAGAGGCGGAAGAGGGCTGCGGAAAGCAAGAGGAATGAGAGAGCGCGGGCAGGGCAGGGGTCACAGGCGAGTGACAGCAGCGGAGAAGAGCACGGCGGAGGGGGGAGAAGAGGCGGACGCAAGGGAAGCAGGTGCAGGGCAAGCGAGGGAGCCGGGGAAAGTGGCGGAACCCGGGGAAGCGAGGGAGGCGGGGGGAGCGGGGACAGGGAGAGCAGCGGGGAGCTGTGGAGATGGGGAAGGGTGGAGAGAGCAGCGTATCTGGTACAGGAAGCCATGGCGGGGCGATGGGTGCCTCTGGAGGCGGTGCGAGAGGAGGGCGGAGGGGCGGCTGCTCAATGGGTTGCGTGGTACCGGCGGGGGGAGGGCGTGCGCGCCGCCATGGTGCTGGCGCTGCTGCTGCTGCCCTTTTTTGAGGTGCGTGCAGGGGGAATATGGTGCCTGTGCTGTGCAGGGGGAATATGGTGCCTGTGCTGTGCAGGGGGGTGAGGGAAAGCTTTAAGATGTGCGTGGATATGGCGCTTGTGGTGCTTGTGGTACTTTTTGTCCTTGGTGCCTAGCCCACAAGTGGGGGCTTCAGTTGCTTCAAATTGCCGCATAGAAGCCTCAACCTACACTACTGTCCCTTCAGCTAACCTCTCCTCTCCGCGCCTCTCCCTTGTGCCCTCCAACCTCCATTTCCCTCCCAGCTCCCTGCATGGTGCACGGCTAATCCTTCATCCCCTGCTCCCTGCGGTGACCCTTCGCTCTATGCTCTCAGTGGCCTTCCCTACATGCCACACTCCCTCACTCTCCTCCTCGAGGTTTGTGTGGGCTTAGTTTCCCCGCTTTCGGTGTTTCTTGCCTTCACCCTTCCATATACACATGCCCATACACACGTGCGCATACACACGTGCATGTGTGCTTGCATATTCCCTCCCTCCTGTGTGTCCATGCATTGACCATCTGTACATAACCACAGCAACAACCTTGCCATAACCACAGCAACAACCTTGCCATAACCACAGCAACAACCTTGCCATAACCACAGCAACAACCTTGCCATAACCACAGCAACAACCTTGCCATAACCACAGCAACAACCTTGCCATAACCACAGCAACAACCTTGCCATAACCACAGCAACAACCTTGCCATAACCACAGAAACAACCTTTCCATAACCACAGCAACAACCTTGCCATAACCACAGAAACAAACTTTCCATAACCACAGCAACAACCTTGCCATAACCACAGCAACAACCTTGCCATAACCACAGCAACAACCTTTCCATAACCACAGCAGCAACCTTTCCATAACCACAGCAACAACCTTTCCATAACCACAGCAACAACCTTGCCATAACCACAGCAACAACCTTGCCATAACCACAGCAACAACCTTTCCATAACCACAGCAGCAACCTTTCCATAACCACAGCAACAACCTTTCCATAACCACAGCAACAACCTTTCCATAACCACAGCAACAACCTTTCCATAACCACAGCAACAACCTTTCCATAACCACAGCAACAACCTTGCCATAACCACAGCAACAACCTTTCCATAACCACAGCAACAACCTTTCCATAACCACAGCAGCAACCTTTCCATAACCACAGCAACAACCTTTCCATAGCCACAGCAACAACCTTTCCATAACCACAGCAACAACCTTTCCATAACCACAGCAACAACCTTTCCATAACCACAGCAACAACCTTTCCATAACCACAGCAACAACCTTTCCATAACCACAGCAACAACCTCTCCATAACCACAGCCTGCGGTCAGCCCTTTCCATTTCATGCCGTGCCTGCCGTCACAGCCCAACCGTCAATGCCCTCCCCTCCTTTCTTCCTTCCTGGCTCTCCCCCTCCTTCCATTCTCAACCCTCGCCGTCTCACCCCATGCTTGCCTATCAGGCGGTGTGTGTGGCAACGGCTCTAGGCTTTCTTTCCCTGCAGCACTGCATCCTGGGGGGCCCTTCCTTCTGGCGCAACCACGTCGCCCTGTACAAGGTCAGTCACTCTCAGCACCACCAGCAGCATCAGCTCACCGGCACTGGCACCATCACCACATCCAATCATACCCTTTCTCCGTTTCCCTGTTCCTCCTTGTCCCCCACACTGCTGCTGCCACTTCCGCTCACTGTAAGCCATCCCTCCCCTTCTCCTTCTCTTGCCAGACTAAAGCCTTTCCATTCCTCACCCCATTATTAGGCTCCCTATTCCCTCTTCCTGCTCTCTCCCAACCTTATCTCCCGAATCCGCTCATCCTGAGATCTGCTCATTTACCGCATCACCCCTGTCTTACCTCACAGAAGCACGAGGGAGGGGATTATTCCAGCTCTACTCCTCCCTCCTGCGTCATCTCGCCCCGCACCTATGTCTGAGGCGCCTAAAAGAAGACTTTCTCGTCCTCCCCTTTCCCCCCATCACCCATGCCCCTGTCTTAGCTCACAGCAGCACTGGGGATCATCGTTGACCGGGTTTGCTCCTCCCTCCTGCATCATCTCGCCCCGCACCTAGCGGCCCGCATCCTTCCTGTGCCCATCGCGCCCTACCTTCGTGTCATGCTCGCCATTCTCTTCAGCAGGTGGGCTTGTGTGGTCGCGTGGTAGTGTCAGGTTGAAAGTGGCGGTGTGGGTGTGGGTGTGGGTATGGGTGTGGTTGTGTATGTATATGTGTGTGTGCGCGCACGCGCGAGCATGCCTGCATGCATGTGGGTGTGCGTGTGCTTGTGCGTGTGGGTGTGCGTGTGCTTGTGGTTGTGTGTGTGCGCGTGCTTGTGTGTGCGCGTGTGCGTGTGGGTGTGGGTGTGGGTGTGGGTGTGCGTGTGGGTGTGCATGTGCATGTGCGTGTGCGTGTGGGTGTGGGTGTGGGTGTGGGCGCGCACACGCGCGTGTTCGTTTGCATGAGGTAATGTGTTTTTTTGTTTCCCATAAAAAAATATGTTCTCGCGTTACTGATTTCTTGTCCTCTCCCGTTACGACTTTCTCTCCTGCCCAGTCATGTCTCTCCCTTACTGTTCCTCATTCTCCTGTTGCACGTTGCTCTTGTGCACCATTGCTTCCATGTCTCTTTCTCTTTCTCCATCGCCTCCTTCCATCTTGTTCCCCTCTCTTCCCTAACTCTTATTTCCCTCTTATCTCAGGGCAATTCGAGGCTGTTTCCGCACCACACTGCGCATCATCGCTTCGTTCCTTGACATTGCGGTCAGTCGATTCACCATGCATCTATGCTCGCACTCAATCCTCCTCTACCAATCCCGTTACTCTGTTGCTTCTAGTTCTCTCACCTACCAATCTATCTCGTTCCTGAATCGTTCCGTCCATGCACCCACGTAAATTAAGTGATCCCACTCGATATATTAATTTCTCTGACTCCCTCCTGCCCTCTCCTTCGTCCCCCTTTCTCCTGCTCCGTATGCTCTTGCCTCTCGCCTTTTGCCCTCACCATCTCCTTTCCCCTCTTTCTCCCTTGTGTTCCCTCACGTCCCTTTTTTCCCCACTCTCCCCTCTCCTCCTCCCAACCCCTCCCCCTCCTCACAGTCGTCATGGTATCATTCGCCTGGCTCGCCTACATCATCTTGAAACTATCTTTGACGCGCCGAAACAATCGTATCGAATTTCCATCACTCCCTTTTCCCTCTCCCCCCCCCTTAATCCCTTTTCCCTCTCTCCCCCCTCACTCCCCGCCTCCCCACCATCCCACCCCATGCAGATCCTGCTTACAGTCTTCGTGGTATCATTCGCATGGCTCGCCTACGTTATCTTTGGCTTCCCTCTTCAAGAAACAACCACCACCACCATTACCACCACCGAAGCCGTCACCGCCACCGCAATCAACCCCACTTCGCCTCTCTCTACATCCTCCTTCTCCACGTCATTCTCCTCCTCACCATCCCCCGCCTCTCCTCCCCCTTCTCCTCCCCCTTCTCCTCCCCCTTCTCCTCCCCCTTCTCCTACCCCCTCCCCCTCAGCCTTCTCCTCTCTCCCCGCATCTCTCCGGGCCATGTTCATCCTACTCACCACGGCCAACAACCCCAACGTCTGGCTGCCAGAGCTCAACGCCTCGCGCCTCTCCTTCCTCTTCTTCGCCTCCTACCTTGCGCTCGGTCTCTTCTCTATGAACCTCGTTCTCTCTGTCATCTACTCCTCCTATAGCTCCCAGGTGCGTCCGTCCCTTTAGTCTGCTTGTTGTTCCCATTCCTTGGCTTCTCTCTAACCACCCCCTCTCCCCTCTGCTTCCTCTCCGTCCACCCACCCCTTTTCCCTCTCCTTCCTTTCCATCCGTTAACCCCTTTGCCTCTCCTTCCTCTCCATCCACCCAATCCCTTCCCCTCTCCTTCCTCTTCTTCGCCTCCTACCTCGCGCTCGGTCTCTTCTTCATGAACCTCGTTCTCTCTGTCATCTACTCCTCCTATAGCTCCCAGGTGCGTCCGTCCCTTTAGTCTGCTTGTTGTTCCCATTCCTTGGCTTCTCTCTAGCCACCCCCTCTCCCCTCTGCTTCCTCTCCGTCCACCCACCCCTTTTCCCTCTCCTTCCTTTCCATCCGTTAACCCCTTTGCCTCTCCTTCCTCTCCATCCACCCAATCCCTTCCCTCTCCTTCCTCTTCTTCGCCTCCTACCTCGCGCTCGGTCTCTTCTTCATGAACCTCGTTCTCTCTGTCATCTACTCCTCCTATAGCTCCCAGGTGCGTCCGTCCTTCCATCCCTTTGGTTTGCTTGCCATTTCCTCTCCTTTGCGTCTTTCGGTCTATCCAACTCTTCCCCTCTCCTTCCTCGCCCCACCCCTTCTGCTCTCTTTCCTCGCCCCACCCCTGCCCCTCTCCCTCTTTTTTGCCGCCTACCTCGTGCTCCGTCTCTTCTTCATGAACCTTGTTCTCTCTTTCATCTACTCCTCCTATCGCTCCCAGGTGCGTCCGTTCTGAGTCCCTCTCACACTCACACTCACACGCTCTCACTCACACTCCCACTCTCCTCTCTTGCTTCACACCCTGCCCGAACCACCTCAAACCAAACAGATGGCAGCATGTAAGTGCAAGCAGGTGAATTTCACACTCACTCTTGTGCCTGCTCTCAAATTCACACTTCTCACTCACTTTCCCTCTCCCCGTTTTCCCTCACACATCTGCTGCTCGTATCATCCCAAACCCCATCACCCCATAAACGAAACTAACCAGATGGCAGTGTGGGAGCGCAAGCAGGTGACAGCAAGGGAGGCGTGTCTGCAGGAGGCCTTTACTCTCCTGGACGACAGGAGGCAGGGGTGGGTGTCTGCTCGAACCATCACACAGCTGCTCCGAGCCATGGAGCCATTCAAGTGAGTTTTGAGATGACTCAAAAGAGGTTTGAGTCGTCTCAAAAGTGCTCGCTTGAACGACAGGAGGCAGGGGTGGGTGTCGGTCGGCTCGCACCATCACACAGCTGCTCCGAGCCATGGAGCCTTTCAAGTGAGACACGCTTAGCTCCTTCACCCGACTAAAACTCACCCCTTGAAGAAAGACCTTCAGCTTCCAGCTCAGTGTGTGTGGTTTTGTTCTTGCCTGTTGGATGCATTGTTGTATTGATTGCGTTGCTGAGTTGATTGCATTGTTTCTTGGCAACGTGTGTCATTTGCTCTCTCTCTCAAGTGATATTCCAGTTTACTGAATAATCACCAAGTGCTTTCCCACTCTTGCTACCTCTCCACCCCTCTCTCACCTCCGCACCCCACTGCCCCCCCTCTCTCCCGCCCCCCTCCCCTCCGCCCTCTTCTCTCTCCTCCTTCACACCAGGTCGCACCCACACGGTGCAAGGCACATGGCGTCTCTCTTTTTCCGCCTGGACACACGGGGCGACCTGCGCATCTGGGCAGACGAGTTCCAGGGGCTGTGCCACACCTTGGCGCAGCGCACCAGGCCTCCCTCATTGAGGCGCAGTTTTCACTGGACTCGGAACACATACCATCTCTCCTTCACTTCCTCAAACGCCACTTTGTGCCGTGCGCTATCCCACTCTAGCTACCTCCCCACCCCTCTCTCCCCTCCCTCCTCCCCGCCACGCCTCCCCACACCAGGTCGCATCCACACGGTGCAAGGCACATGGCGTCTCTCTTTTTCCGCCTGGACACGCGGGGGGACCTGCGCATCTGGGCAGACGAGTTCCAAGGGCTGTGCCACGCCCTGGCGCACCAGGCCTCCCTTCTTGAGGCGCCTCCGAAGCAATGGTTCCAAGGGTGGTTGTGGGGCGGCATGGGGCAGCTGTTGCACGCGTCCGTTCTTGAGGCGCCTCAGACACAGCAGTTTCAAGGGCTGTGGGGTGGTATGGGAATGAAACACCAGGCACGGGAGGTGCTGGCTACAGGAGAAAGGGGATGGGGCGAAGGGGAGGGGCGAGGGGAAGAGGTGAGGTGGGGGAGTGGTGTATGGGGGAGAGGGAGATGGGAGGGTGGGGTAGAAGAGAGAAAGAGAATGGGAGAGAGGGGAGCGCTTGGAGAGAGAGCAAGGAGAAGTTTATCAGCAGTGGCATCTGCTCCTTCTTTACATCACTCTGCTTCAGCGGGCCTGATACCCCAGCGTACAGCCTCACACCACCGCATATTCCAGCCAACCGTTCCGTACCCCTCTCAACACCCTTCCACCTCCTACTCCCCCTCCCACTCCCAGCCCTCCACCTCCATTTCTGCTGCTTCTGCTCCGCACTTAACCCGTCACAGCTTCTCTGATCGCCTGTCTTCCCGGCTTGCTGCTACGTCGACCGGCCGTTTGCCACACTCCGAGGTGGCTCAAGGGCTTAGAGATGGGATGGCGGCGTGTGAGAGCGCAGGGGTACACAGTAGGAGCACAGGGGGGGATTTCGAGACGTCTCAAATTGAGAGAGTGGCGTGTGAGTGCGCACCGGAGCCTGAAGCACAGCACAGCTGCGATTGCCCTGATTGGGCAGACTGGCTTTACGATCAGCGGTGGCAGTTTGAGGGATGGAAGCAGCAGCAGCAGCAGCAGCGATGCTGGCAGAGTCGCAGCGAGCGGCTTGAGGCGGAGACGAACGGGTATCATCAGCAGCTGGTCTCTCCTCCATTCTCACCGCCCACAGCACCCTCAGTACCATTCCAGACAATACATTCGCCTTCAGCCCGGGGATCAGCGTCGCTCCGACAATCACCATCGTCGCGACCATCATCACCACCACTGTTACCGTGTCGATCACTATCTCTGTCATCAGCGCGGGTGTTAGCATCCTCCTCTTCTTCTTCATCCCTTGAGCAGCCGTTGCTGCCGTCATCGCGCCTCTCTCCTGTTCCACCACCACATACCCCATTGTCATCACCACCATCACCACCATCACCATCACCACCGTCACTATCACCACCCGCAGCAGCAGCAGCAGCAGCAGCAGCAGCAGCAGCAGCAGCAGCATGTGCACGTAATGGTGGTGTGAGCTGTTGGGTGCAGCAGCAGGGATGGGCGTGGAGGGTGGAGCAGCTTGGGCTCGTGCTCACACTGTTGCTCATGGCAGAAGCACACATGGTGACACCCCCCTCCCTCGCCATGCCATGCCCTCTTTCTGCCCTTACTTCCTCATCCACCCTCCCTTGCTCTCCCCTCCCTTCCTCCCTCCCTCCCTCATTCACTCCCTCCCTCCCTCCCTCCCTCCCTCCCTCCCTCCCTCCCTCCCTCCCTCCCTCCCTCCCTCCCTCCCTCCCTCCCTCCCTCCCTCCCTCCCTCCCTCCCTCCCTCCCTCCCTCCCTCCCTCCCTCCCTCGCTCCCTCGCTCCCTTGCTCCCTTGCTCCCTCCCTCGCTCCCTCCCTCCCTCCCTCCCTCCCTCGCTCCCTCGCTCCCTCCCTCGCTCCCTCCCTCGCTCCCTCGCTCCCTCCCTCGCTCAGGCATCCCTTACGTCGTGTGTCATGATCCCTTCTCCGTCCCAGTCTTTACCCATCCTCCGTGCACGTGTCCATTGTCCCTCTCACTCGCAGGGCATCACTGGTATCGATCCGTCACTCCTCATTGCCGCACAGGTCTTGGCAGGTGACATCATTCACGCCCCATCCACGCTTGTTCCATACATGCCATACTGTGCCTTGCCGTGCCATGCCATGCCATGCCACTGCATGAAATGCCATGCCACGCCAGGCCATGCCATGCCACGCAATGCCATTTCATGCCATGGCATGCGATGCTTGTTCCATTGCCCCACTCATCCACACCCGGTAATCATCCCTGTAATTCGCCTCTCTCCACTGACCTTTTTAAGATTTTCTGCACCACAAGCAAACCCACCACAGAAAATCTCTTCTCCAGATCCTCTTTTAAGACGTCTCACAAGTCTCTTTTGAAACGTCTCACAAGTCTCTTCTGAAACGTTTCTGAAGCGGAGCCACTGCAGAAATCTCTTCTCCAGTATCCCTTTCTCGTCCCTGCTGTCATTCCAACCCACACAGAGCTTACTCTGCTCTGCTTATCCCTCTGCATATGCTCTGCGTTGTTTGTCTTCTTGCGTATCCAATGTTCCGCAATCTCCTCTTGCTTCCCTCCTCTGCAACCACTACACAGATCGTCCACTTCACAAAAATCATCCCATCTCCCATCCCGCCTCCCCCCTACCACCGCTGCCTATTTCCATGTATGTGCAGCCATGGTATGGACCCTCCGTTTCATACTCCACTGCTGGTGCGGCTGGCCGCACATACTCTCCCCACATTGGCGCGTTCACTTCTTCTCCTCCATCCCTCTCCTCTCACTCGCCCTTATCCTCCTCCTCCTCCTCCCTCTCTGCTCCATCCGTTCCCTTTCTGGATCTTCCACAACATTTCCTGGCCACTACAAGCTGCAACAGCAACAGCAACAGCAACAGCAACAGCAACAGCAACAACAACAGCAGCATGAGATGCAAAAGCATCAATTCAACTATCTGCAGCAGCGGCACTTGCAGCAGCAGAAGCAGCATGTACATGTGCAGGTGTCATTAGCTTCAAGCTCCGCATCAGTAGCTCCAGAAGCAGCACAATCAGCACCTGAAGCAGCAACAGCAGCATCAGAGCAAGAGCACATATTGCAACCACCACGGTTGTTGCTGCGGGACCTATCACCATCACCATCACCATCACCACCACCCACTTTCCCTCAGCTGTTTGTGACCCATGCTCTCAGGCCAAGCATGCCTCCACATCTCTCTGACGCGCTACACTGGTATGCTAAATCCTGTCCCTTCGTTGTCATAACTCTTGAAACACGTCTTAACTCCTAACCTTCCGTACACCCTAAAACCGGTTTGCCAAGTCGCGCCCATTGATTGCTATGCCATGTCCGTGCTCTCGTACGTCTTCCCAGAGGATAAAACAGAAAGAAAAAAAAATCAAAGAAATAAAATAAAATAACTACCTGCTTCTAACAACCCCCCTCCCTCACTCCCATCCCCTCACTCCCATCCCCTCAACCTCTCTCTGGCCTGCTCACCACCAGGTTGCAAGCTGCACTGCTCTTCCGCTGCCTCCCCCTCCTCCCATTCTCCCACTACCTCCCTCGTCTACACCTCCTCCTCTCCTCCCTCGCTACCCTCCTCCCCTCCATCCTCCCCATCCTCGCCCTCCTCTTCACCACCCTCTCCCTCTTCTCACTCGCCGGTATGCACCTCTTTGGCGGCCTCCTCTCCTCACACCACCCCCAGCTTCAAACCACAGACTACTTTCAATCTGGCTTCCTCCCACTCAATTTCAATGACTTCCCGGCTTCGATGGCCGTGGCTTTCAACCTGTGTATCGTAAACAACTGGTATGTGATCATGGATGGGGTTGCGGCAGTGCTGCCAGCAGAGCAGCAGTGGAAGGCGACTGTGTATTTTGCGCTGTTTTACGTGGTAATTGTGGTGTTTGTGCTTAATGTGGTGGTTGCTTTTATTCTCGAAGCCTTTGTAAAGGAGCTCAGGTTTCGGGGAGGTTCACAGAGGGGACTTAGGAGGACAGGAGCTCTACCAGCAGCAGTGGCACCACCAACAGTAATGGCAGCAGCAGCAGCACCAATACCACCACGAGCACGAGCACCAGCAGGTGGTTGTGATGGTTGTTGTAGTGATACATATAGGTCCAGGCTTTCTAATTGCAGTAGCTATGATGCTATTCCTGGTACAGAAACAGAATTAGGTTCAACATTTTCCCTCTAAAACCAACCTGGCAAAAGTGAGGACTATTGTGATGTACGGTACTACAAAGCCTCTCTTCCTCCCTCTGCCCTCAGCCTCTCTTCCCTAGTACCAGTATACAACACCTAGGTATCCTCATTCTTCCTCATCATTCTTTGGCGAGTTCATTTCTCATACTTACTAATGCTACTTAGCACTAGTCTCTGGTAACTATGAATGTGACAGGTTTCAGCACTTCGGTTCTGGATTTAACAGTTGGGTTTAGATGAAAGTTGGAGATGACAATGCAAAACAGAACAAACAATATATAAGCAAACAGATTCAGCAATGTGCGACTCTTGTAACGCGTCTACTGCGACCCATATCGCGTCGGCGTGAGTAACCGAAACTGACACTGAAACCAGCGAACTGTTCGGCGCAGTTCGGCGCTCTGCATAGCAGCCGTCGTTCGGCGCTCCGCGTGGCAGCTGCAAACCACCCTAGACAGGGCCCAAAATTGGTTTTGGCCTACCCTTACAAATCAGGGTAACACCCCCTCCTTGAACAGACCCCTAGGGTAATTTTTTTTCGTACCCTGTTTGCAGCAGGGTAAATCAACCACTAGACTGATTTGAGCAGGGTAGTTTTTGGCTAATCCTGTTTTGGGTACCACTATGAGAGCTAAGTGATTTGTGAAAGCGTAATTAATAACGTACGTAGCACATCCAAAGTCCTTCATCTATAAGCCACACATTCACTACACACCTATTCAGTGCCACCCCCACTGCCTACATCTTCTACAAACTCAGTCTGCAAAGCTCTGGTGGGGTCGAACTCCCTGGTGGATCGCCTCAGCTTCTCTCCACGAAAGATAGCGACCACCTCAAACCAGTCGACATCGTACTGCAGCAAGGAGCATCGCATCAGATGCTCCAGGCTTGTGTCGCCAAGGCTGCCACGCCCCCAAGTCTTGATCAGATTCTGCTTCGAGAACCCAAGCTCGCATTCAACCCTGCTCAATGGCAGCACGACCACTGATTGCCACATCCGCATGATGTTGGGGAAGGAGACCCGCCATGCATCATCCCGCAGCATGTTCGTCAGCGCCTGATGGAATTCTTCATTGTTGTGCTGGGCGAACAGTGTGGATGTAAACATCCACAGCTCCTGCTGGGCTCTCTTGTAGTCGAACCCTGTGGTGGGGCGGGGTTTGGTGAACGCTTCGCCGATGCTCGCAGACACGGGTAGGGATGGGGGGCATTAGTCCAACAAGCAACAGTATGCAGTGTGTGTATTGGTCAACCTCATGTCAGACATCGTTGCGACAACACACATCATAACATGCGCAGTCGCTGCAGAAGGCCTACCTGGCAGCTTGTGGTGGTACAGCTTGTGCAGCTGGCCGAGCCACTTCTTGAAGGTTTCCAGTCGCTTTGTGTCGTCGGACACGTACGAAGCTGTGCGAAACAGCTTCGAACCTTCCAGCAGCTCCAGGTCGTGCATCCGCCACTCCAGCTCTTTATCGATGGCGCGCACATACTTAATCGACAGCTCGACACATGCCATGACATCGCCATCCGTTTTGTGTCCTAGCAGCGGGTGCTCGTGCAGCGTGAACTCAAACGTGACCGGATTTCCGTCCCTGTCTACGCCCTCTGCCTTCATCTCGCGCTTATGCTTTGCCCCGTGCCTCTGAATGAACTCGGGGAGCTGCATTTTCTCCCTGCTGTCGAAATGGTGTTTAGGGTCGCGGAGGGAATACCGCGTCTTCAGATGCATCCTTGTCTGCTGCACGATGTGCGCAACAAGGGTAATGCCCACCTGTACACGGGCATGACAGCGAGTTAGGTAGTACACGTGCTTGCATGCGACAACATAGAAGAGAGCAACAAAGGCCCGTACCTGGTACTGCTGGAAGCGCTAGTTAAGGCAGTTCAGTTCACATCGTGGCCTGCTTCGCCTTCTCCGCCTCCGCCTGTCAGTAGAGCTACACTGTGAGATCCCCGATCGATCCTAGGGGGGGTTACAGGCGCGTTTGCCTGGGGGGTTATGGGCGCACTGACCCGCTACTGAAACAAGCCCTTTTATCCCAATGGTCTAGTGGTTGGGATTCTGACATGGTATCAGAGCGGTCTCGGGTTCGAATCCCGGTGTATGCATATGTTGGCCGTTGCCACTGTGCTCAGTCCTGGGCCTCCCAGTGTGGGGGGGTGTCAGTAGAGCTACACTGTGAGATCCCCGATCGATCCTAGGGGGGGTTACAGGCGCGTTTGCCTGGGGGGTTATGGGCGCACTGACCCGCTACTGAAACAAGCCCTTTTATCCCAATGGTCTAGTGGTTGGGATTCTGACACCGCCTTCTCTTGACTCTCCAACGCCTACTTGTGTGCACGGGAGGAGGTGTGAGTGCGGATGCTGCCGATCTGGAGATCCCGAGCACCCTCACCCTTTGCCCCGTACGCGGTGTGCGCTAGTGAATCTCCATGCTTCCCACAAATCGAACACTTCAAAGACGGACGGCCGTTAGACATGCGGAGTAAACGTAGCCACTTGAAGCTACCTGCCCACTGACCCTCACACGTTTTCTTCACCGATTCATACACAGCATCTGCCAGAGCGGTGGGTGGCTTCGGATCGGCCGAAGGAGCAGGGCGCTTGTGGGAAGTAGCGTTTCAGGGAGGAGGGGCGCCCCAGAGGGTCTGCTGCTTGTACGCAACTCCCACACGCTGTCGCTTGACGGACGCGGTGCTGACCGTCGATGGCGAAGTTGTAAGCAGATTTGACGAGCCCTCGCCACCTCCGGGAACCAATTCTATGTCAGGATGTGGCTCCCACACCGTGGGTGAGTCAGGCGGCTCGAACAGATAAACCGTTCCTACCACAAATTCTGGTGACGGCTCTCGAGGCGGCGGCTGAGCGATGGGCACGGCGTACTTCTCGCTAAGGCGTGGTAAAACGCCCAGCATAGAGAGGCCATTTCTCGCGCCATCAGGGGGATCGGGCTCTCCAGTAGGCATTGTCGAGGTGAAAGTTGAGAATGGTTGAGAATGAGGGCCAAGCGACAGACCCCCTCGTAGAGAACGAGCCTCTGACTGACTCTCAAGGGCCGTTTCTTGCATGCGGAGGGGAGTGTATGGCCAGCAAGGCAGGACTGCTGCTGCAATTTGTTGTTAAGGACAACTTGCAGCTGTCCTTCACAGCAAATTCCGTTGTGTTGGCGGTGGGCGTGGCAACGGGTGGCAAGATTCGAGAATGAGTTGGCAGTCCTGCGGGAGAAACAACAAATGGGGCAACATGGCGCGTTGCCGACAGCGAAACAAGTTTTACCCTGCGTCCTCACAAGCGACAATCGGTGTTTGTAGGGGTGTGGTACATTTTGTCACCACGCGGACTATGTCTAATTCGCGTTACAAAAGATTCGGTAAAAGGGTAGTGTACACCGTACCCTGATTCTGTCAGGCTAACCTGAAATCGTATCAGGGTGAAAAAAAACATGCTCTTTTTAGAGAAGGGTAACTATCATGCATTCTTGATTTCGGTAGGGTAATCCTGAAAAAGCGGCCGGCCCCCAGGGTAATCAGGGCGTTTTACCCTGATATTTTGGGCCTTGACCCTAGACAAACATAAAAGGGGGAACGCATAACACGGACTTGGCAGTCTTGGGGATATTCTTGGTGGTGCTCATGGCGAAGGGGAGGGGAGAAACAGCAGCGTAGGGTGGTAAGCAAGACTCTTGCTAGGAGAATGACTAATTCTCAGATCTAAAGGCAGATTCTGAACTACAGGACTCGTGGCAAAAAAGATGTGTCTCCATGGTAAGAATAAGGCAGCATCAGGGAAGGAAGCAGAGAGCTCTTAGCAGGAACGAGTAGAAGTAGCTGGGAGCAGCAAAAAGCATCGCGCGGAAAGCAGGGAGCAGCAGTGCTTGGCGGAGAGTAGATTTTGGGAGGCAGAAAATATTTCGCTGAGGGTTGGCCTTGGGCTTGGTCATTTCGGGTCCAACGACGTTGCCGAAGCAGTCCATTCCTGAGATGAACACCACCTCGTCACATGATGAGACTCGAGTCCGCTTGCCGCCCTTGCCACCGCGGAGGGCCTTCATCACATTGCCAAGAAGATTCGGCATTCCGTCCCACCACACCGTCACGCTCTTCGCTCTTGTGCCGCGCCCACTGGGCTTGAGGTTGAAGCAATATGGCTTCTCGAACTTGTGTAACGAGCCACCAACGGTTACCACCGTCACGATCGGGGTCATCTTCAAGGGGTCAGGAGTAGGATAATCATAGTAAGTGTCATCAGTGGTGTCATCAGTGGAGCCATCAGTGGTGTCATCAGTGGGGACATCGGCGAGCGGCACATCATCGGCGGGCAAATTAGCGGGGACCTTGACGGGGATATCGGCGGAGAAATCAGCTGGGATAGCGGCGGTGACAATGGTGGGAACAACAGTGAAGTCAGTAACTTGAAGTTAGCGCTCGGTTTGAAGTTGATTGAGTGAGCTATCGGCCGCCATAGACTGGAGGCTGCATGCTGAGATATAAAAAATTGACGACAAGGTCGCGCAGTTGTAGTTAGTGTCAGAATCCCAACCACTAGACCATTGGGATAAAAGGGCTTGTTAAGTAGTGGGTCAGTGCGCCCATAACC